GTTCAAGGCTGGGGAAGCAGGTGGACTCCCTCCTTGTACAGCCTGCCCTGCCAGAAGCCTCTAAACAACAGGTGTGAGGCTCTGGTTGAGGAAGGCCTGACAAATGAGGACGTGGATAATGGGCAATCTACATCAGAGAGGTCTCCACAGTCAGAAAGGGCTACTGCCTGCAGCACCACCTCACGCACCAAGAGGAAAAGAAGGGTTATCGTTGCAGGTGACTGTTCTGAGAGGAACTGAGGGTCCAATAGGCTGAGTAAACCCTTCTTACAGAGAGGTCTGCTGTCTTGCTGGAGTCCAGGTTAAGGATGTCACTAGGAAACTGCCCAACTTGGTAAGGTCCACTGATCACTACCCACTATTGATTTTCCAAGTGGGTGGTGAGGAAGCTGCAACTCGTAGTTTGTGAGCAATCATGAGAGACTTCACGGCCCTGGGATGGTCAGTGAGAGAATCTGGGGTGCAGGTTGTTTTTCCTTCTGTCCTTCCGTTTGCAACCAGTGACTTTGGAAGGAACAGGAGGATACAATCTATAAATACATGGCTCTGTGGCTAGTGTCACCACCACAATTTTGGTGTTTTTGACAATGGGATGACCTACATGGCACTAGATATGCTGGCATCAAACAGGAGACACCTTTCTCAAAGGAGGAAGAGGGTCTTTGCCCAAGAGATTGTGGGGCTGATTGACAGGGCTTTAAACTAGATATGATGGGGGAGGGGGATAATGATCTCAAGATTGGCTGTGACAAGTGGCAGGATGACACACCAGGGTTGGAGGGATAGGGTGACAGTAAGGGTCTTCAATCTGTTGCCCTGAGGCATGCTGTGGGTGCTGCAGCACAGGTTAAGTCTTACAGAGCCAGAGGCTCCTGAAATGCTAGGAGCCAAGAGGGCAGCTTCCATGAAACACCCTGGGGGAATGAAGGGGTGTCCATTTAAGAAGGTGACACGGTCAGCAGACCAGTTGAAATGCCTCTACACCAATGCATGCAGCATGGGCAACAAACAAGAGGAGTTGGAAGCCACCGTGCTACAAGAAAACTATGACGTAGTGGCCATTACTGAAACTTGTTGGGATGAATCTCATGACTGGGGTGTGGCTATTGATGGCTAAAACCTGTTCAGAAGGGACAGTAGTGGAAGGAGGGGTGGAGGTGTTGCCCTCTATGTTAAGAAATGGACAGAGTGTGGAGAGTTGTCCCTAATGAACAGCCAAAAGCAGGTTGAAAGCTTATGGGTAGGAATCAGGGATTGAGACAACAAGGGCAGCCTTATGGTTGGTGTCTACTACAGGCTGTCTGATCAAGGGGAGCCTGTTGATGAAGCCTTCTTCAGCTCCAGGAGGCATTGAGCTCACAGGATCTCAACCTGCTGGGGGATTTCAACCATCTTGACATCTGTTGGAAAAGTAGCACTGCAGGCAGTAGGCAACCCAAGAGACTCCTGGAGTGCCTTGATGACAACTTTCTGAGACAGGAAATAGACAGCCCTACTCAAGGGGAAGTGATTTTGGACCTCATGGTCACCAGTCCAAGTGAGCTAATCAGGGATGGCAAGATTGGAGGCAGCCAGGGCTGTAGCGATCACGCGCTGGTGTAGTTCACTGTCCTAAGGTGTATGAGTCACACAAGAAGCACGGGCAGAACTTTGAATTTCAGGGAAGCCAACTTCCAGCTCTTCAAGGAGTCAGTCAATAGGACCCCCTGGGAAACATCCCTCAAGGAAAAAGGAGAACAGAGCTTGCAGATCTTTTAAGGAGGCTTTCCACAGAGCGCAAGGGCTCTCAATCCGCAAGATAAGAAATCAAGCAAGGAAGGCAAAAGAGAATGAGTCACAGAATCACACAGAATATTAGGAGTTGGAAGGGACCTTGAAAGATTATCTAGTCCAAGCACCCTGCCAGAGCAGGATCACCCAGAGTAGGTCATACAGGAATGCGTCCAGGCGGGTCTTGAATGCCTCCAGAGAAGGAGACTCCACAACCTCTCTGGGCAGCCTGGGCCAGTGCTCTGTCACCCTCACAGTGATAAAGTTTTTCCTCATGTTCACATGAAACCTCCTATGCTTCTGCTTGCTCCCATTGCCCCTTGTCCTGTCATTGGACATCAGAGAGAAGAGCCTGGCTCCTTCCTCCTGACACTTGCCCTTTACAAATTTATAAACATGAATGAGGTCACCCCTCACTCTCCTCTTCTCCAAGCTAAAGAGACTCAGCTCCTTCAGCCACTCCTCATAAGGGAGATGCTCCACTCGAGACCTGCTGGCCAAACTAAAAGGCAAGATGGAACTACACAGGCAGTGGAAGCAAGGACAGGTATCCTGGGAAGGGTACAAGGACATTGCCTGGGTGTGTAGGGATGAGGTCAGGAAGGCCAAGGCACAGCTGGAGCTGAACTTGGCAAGGAATGCCAAGAAAATCAAGAAGGGCTTCTACATGTATGTCAACCAGAAAAGGAAGGTTAAAGAAAGTGTACCCTCCCTGATAAGCAGCAATGGTGAACTGGTAATAACAGATGAGAAAGCTGAGGTTCTCAACAACTTTTTTTGCCTCAGTCTTCACTGGCAAACTCTCCTCACAGATCTGAAGTTGATGGCCCACAAGACAAGGAGCAGGGAGAAAAAGTCTTGCCCACTCTAAGTGAAGATAAGGTTCATGACCATCTGAGGAACCTGAACATGCACAAGTCCATGGGACTTGATGAGATGCATCCCAGAGTCCTGAAGGATTTGGCTGATGTAGTTGCCAAGCCACTCTCCATGATTTTGAAAAGTCATGGCAGTCAGGTGAAGACCCTAGTGACTGGAAGAAGAGAAACATCACACTCATTTTTAAAAAGGGTAGAAAGGAGGACCCTGGGAACTACCGACCTGTGAGCCTCACCTCTGCATGGGATCATAGAAGAGATCCTCCTAGAAGCTATGCAGAAGCACATGTAGAACAGGCAGGTGATTTGAGACAGCCAGCATGGCTTTAATAGGGGCAAGTCCTGCCTGACCAACCCAGTGGCTTTCTACAATGGAGTAAGTGCATCAATGGACAAGGGACAAGCTATGGATGTCAACTATCTGGATTTCTGCAAGGCCTTTGACATGGTCCCCTACAACATCCTTCTCCCTAAGTTGGAGAGGTATGGATTTGAGGGGTGGACTGTTCAGTGGATCAGAAATTGGCAGGGCGGTTGCATGCAGAGAGTAGTGGTCAATAGCTCAATGTCCAGATGGAAGATGGTGGTAAGTAGTGTCCCTCAAGGATCTGTACTGGGACCAGT